CCCCCCCCCCGCTTATAATCCACACGTGTTCACACCTCAGCCTCCCCCATCCCACCCTTCACCTACAGAAATCTCCTCACCTTGTACCCCTCAAAGCCCCTCCCCTGCCCTCAGGAAGTCTTGGGGGGTGGGGGCTGCCTCTCTTACAGCCGACCTGTCTCCTTCCCCCCATGGGGCTTCCATCCCTGAGGGGAATGTCTTTCTGGGAGGAAAAAAAAAAAAAAAAACTCTCCCAAAATGGCTCTCCTGGCATTTCTAATTAGAGGTGAGTGGGCGGACACAGAAGGCAGGCGGAGGGGCACCACCGCAGGGAGAGGAACCAGGCAGAGAAATTGCTAGAATAGGGACCAGCTAAAGTCATCCTGTGGAGGAATCCTGGGAGCTGGAAGCGGGAAGCCTGGGCCTGGAAGTAACTGAAGGTTGACCAAGGTCCTATGCCATGGAGTCAGGCTGATTAGCCAGCTGGACCCTATTGTGTCTGCACACACGTAAGCGTGACGGCAGCAGCCCTTCAGTGGCCAGAGTCAGCCTCTATGTACCCACAGCAGAAGCTAGTGGACAGCCCCCTAGAGCGGGCAGCTGGGGACGGGCAAGGAAGGGCAAGCAGGCTGGAGGTGGCAAGGGTGGCAGACACCATGAGCTTGCAGCCTAGTGACCCGTATCCTCCACCCCCCTATCTGTAGAGGGATTGGGTCCGAATGGTGGGAAAGTTTCCATTGCTGAGGTGCCACGGCCCTCTGGCCACCTTACCTCCCATTCCCCATAGAGGGCAGTTCATTGAGGCCACTGTCCCTAAGACACTACTCTGAGCCCCACTGGGATGACAGGTCACATGGAGCCCTGCTTCCACCCCCAGGGTCTTCAGAAGCTGTGAACACAGGAGCCCCATGACAGGTGACAGGCCCAGGCAACAGCCACCGCTACTGCTACTCCGGGAACACCTAATCGCTGCCCAATTATCACCCCAGAAGCCCGGAGCAACGCCCCCGCTGCAGCCTGGGGCTACATTCTGACGCTGGAAAAGAGGCCAGGCTGGCTCCCTGCCTCCAAGGAGGGGGACTTCTAACCCACACTCTTCTAGTTATCCTCCCCTAACATTAAGCTTGCCTGCGAGAGGGCTAACAGTGCCACCCTCAGCCCCCTAAAAGGTTGGGGAAGGATGAAGGGGGACTGGGGGCTGGACCCGTGCTGGGAAAGAGCCTGTGGTCTCAAAGCCAAGCTTCCTGACACATTCTAGATGAATTCTGAGGAAAGGCAGGAGTCCTCAGGAATGGGGCAGGTCTGGGTGAATCCTCAGAGTGCTAAGATCCAGGTGGCCTTGATTCAGTAGCCTGCCAGTCCTGCCCTTTGCTCCCAGGACTCCAGATACTCTTGGTGATGCTGTCATGCTAAAGTGCCTTTTTCAAGATGAAGCCTGCATCCTGATATGTCAGAGAGCTCTGAATCCAGAGATTGGCCTTTAGCCTCTTGTCCTGCCCCTGTCTCTGGAGCCTCTACCACGGTTCTCCTCCTCCTCTCCCCCACCTTTCTTTGAGTACAAGATCCTGACAGGAATCACACATGTCTGGGATTGCATCAGCTAGAATCCCAGAGGCATGTGGGCTTTAGGGTCCTTTGAGTCTCCTCCTTGTTCCTCATGGGATATCTGCAAAGCCCCTTCATGGCCGCTGTGGGGGCACAGCTATCTCTGGCTAGAGGGTCTTCCCAGCAGATGCTTTCTCTACGGCTGGACAGTTAACATCCGTTAGTAATGAGGGTAAGAGGGTAGCTCCTTCAAGGACAAAGCTCACAGCCATCCCTATACCTTCACACAAAGGTACACTGTGAACACACAGGTGTGTGTCTGTACCCATGCACAAGCATAACACACACACACACACACACACACACACACACACACACACACATAAATCCCCCCTGTGATACGGAATATGGGACCCCATTCCTTAAGGAGCCAGAAGCCAGGGCAGCAGAGATGGACACATGGATCTGGTTGGGCTTCCTGCTCTCATCTACCCACAAATCTCCCATCTGTGTGGGCATAGGAGAAGGGGTATGGGATTCTGCCCCTTGATTGGCTGAGCTGAAGGACCTCCTACCCAGCCCCCAGCCCAGATGCCTCCATCAAATCTCTAGACAGCCTCCTGCCACCCACTTTGCACAGATATCCTTTGCTGTCTGGACCAGAGATCCTAGCTTCTGGCTGATGCCCTGGTACCATGTCCATCCAGGGCCCAAAGCAGTCATTCAACATGGATCTGAGGAAGAGAAAGGGTGGGAGACTTTCCACATCCCCTTCTAATCACCAGGCCTCACTTTTTCCCTCTGTGGCATTATGGGAACAAAGCTCTACCAAACTGAAGGTTGCTGGAGTCCTTTCTTGGTGTCAGCATGGGACAGGAGAGGAAGGGAGGAGGGACCCACCTCCAGTCCTCAAGATTAGTCTCTGTGGGCTTCACAAAGCCACTGCCTACTTAAAGCCCAGTAAGCTCAAGCTGAGTTGACAATGAATGAGCCACCAGCAGGAGAGAGGACACCTGGCCCTCCCACCAGCCTTCTGCTGGCTGAATGACTTCCGGTCACCCCCACTGCCAGTCTCTGGACACAGCAGGGCTGGCAATGATGGTCTCAGGGGATGAGAGATGAAGGTACCGATCTCCCCATGAGAGCACAGGGATGCACAGTGGTTTGGGGGCTGAGACTGAAGGAGAACATCAAAGAGGTGATGGTGGTGGGGAGACTGAGGAAAATGACGGGGAAGCAGAAAAAGATAGAGAATCCCAAACAAGGCTACTGTTAAATGTCTCAAAAAGGCATTCTCATTTAGTTTCCACATGGGGCCCTGGAGGAGAGGGGGAGATCAGCCTCAGACTGCTGAGCTAGCCAGTAACAGAGGCAGGCTAGGTCATGGGAGTGAGACTGGAGCCAGAGCCTGGGGCCATGGGAGACTGAAGAGCTCTCCCCAGGGCCCAGAGCTCCCCTCCCTTTCCAGCAGCCTTCCTTCCTGAGCCACAGGAACATGTTATCTCTGCCTCCCCCCCCCCCTTCCTTCCTTCCTCTTCCGTCTGGCAGGCTGTGTGCTACATCCTTGTCCCTGGAACCGGCAAGGCAGCCTGTTCGTTCAGGGCCCCCACACACCAGACCCTCCTCCCTCTTTTCTCCTCCCTCCTCCTTTCCTGCCTCCTGCCTCAGCTCCTCCAGTCCAGCCTCTAAAGAAGCCTGGTATTTTTCCACAGAATTTGCATGGCCTTAATGTTCCCCGGGCCCCAGGCATTTCCCACTACCCACCTGGCAGTGGACAAGGACAAAGGTTCGTGGGAGTCTGTTCTCATGAGACCTGTGTTCCTCATGGAGCCCAGCCATTATTCATAGGGGAGATTAAGGTCCAGAGCGAGCCAGAAACCTACCCAAGCCACACAACAATGGAGGCT